TCTTATGTTCTTGTGATACTTGAGTTCTATGTGTTATGATGCAAGTAGACTACACATCCGTCTTTGTGCTCTGAGCACCATGTGGATGTGGCTGTTAAGGAGGAACTCCACTGATTTTTTAAGATTTCTGCCTAATTAAATTGTTCAGATGTAAACAGTCATTCAGAGTGGTTTGATGTAAAATGCTCCGTTCTGTATAAACTTGCCAAATCAGAATTGTTCACTCAGACGGCTGGGGTGTTTAATGCCTCAAAAAGGTACCTCACAGAAAGTTATTTCATGAAATGGTTATGAATATGCTGTCTGATGTCTGGGACATTGTTTCATGATGATTTTGAGATAAGGTTTTGGCCTAAAACCTCATCATCATCATCATCATCATCATTAACCGCTTAGTCCAGATAGGGTCACGGTAGCAGTTGGGAGAGCAGAGAATCCCAGATGACCCTGTCCCGCAAAATTTCCTTCAGCTCATGCTGGGGGACCCCATGCTGCTTCCAGGCCAACTTGGAGATATAATCCCTCCAGCTGGTCCTAGGACAACCGCTGGGTCTCGTCCCAGTAGGCTGTGCCTGGTAAACCCCCACCGGGAGGCGTCCAGGGGGCATCCTGATCAGATTCCCGTACCACCTCAGCTGGCTAAAACCTTTTAAAAACTCATTAATGGCAGAGTGGTACATGTAGATTGATGTGAAGCAAAATAGTTCCCCAAAGAAAAGATATACTTTAAGATCTACCGCAGTTTTACCATTATCAGCCTTACATATAAAAACTCAGAAGACTAGGTTCACTGGTGGTTGTGAACAGTAAATAAAATGGCTAGATCTGTGTTATAGGTATTGTGATCACTATAAAGAAATCTAAGGCTCTAGGTTTCTCTACCATGATACATTCCATATCAAAACACTCTGAATGGCCTTGTTTACATCACAATAAGTGAAATATGTAGAAATATAGAAATATGCAGAATTTTGAATATTGAGGGAAATTTCACTGCAATTCAATTGCATTTTTAGTGCAATTTAGAATGATTGGCAAATATAAACTGAACATGCGGATGTGACTAGAGGAACTATTTACACAGTCGTGGAACGTACCCAGTTTTTATATTTGTATGTTTGAGATGACCCCAAGAATTTAGTTTTGGCCAAAAAAAAAATGAGTGCACATTGTAGTGAATGGAATTCAAATCCTGTATAATCAATTTTAACATCCCAAAATCTGAGTACTTGAATCACCACCTATACGTGTATTTTTACACCCTTTATTCACGTATTATTGACATACACTCAGGGCTGACCATTATGTATCTGCCTTTCAAATGAAGATTCAGTTGGTCAATGCCTCGCTGGCCTTGCCTGCACTGCTGTAGACCAGCTTTTCTGCACCCCGACCCAGTACAGATTACAGAAGGCACTGCTAGTCTGACACTCAGCAAGGCAAACAAATCACATCCCTCACATCCAGCCCTTTTCTCCCCATACAAGAGAGGCGAGAAGCTCTAAAACTTCTATCCGACTCCTCTGAGGAGTTTCTGAGGAACTCTCCAGCTTTGATCTCATTCCAGTTTTGGCCTGCAAGTTTACTCAGATTGGGTAACTGGTGTAATCCTATCCAGTGCTCGGGACTCTGACCCGCTGACCGGCCAGCGGACCGGCGAGCTTTTGTTTTGAAGGAAAAACAACTATCGGCGCTAAACATTACAGCATGTGCTGAGCAGAGAGCGGTGAGAGAGAGAGAAGGCTTTCCTGAGGACATGCTGCAGCTGTTGAGAGAAAAGAGAGCAAAAGAGAAACAGTGGGAAGAGGAGGAAAAGGGAAAATGAGGTTAAAAAGAAATTGAAATCAAGTTAGAAGAGTTATAAAGTGAAATAAGTAAAGAACTCTATTCACACTCACCTGTGGCCTTTTCACTGTGGCTGTGTGTATTTATTTGTCTATGTGTATGTACTGCGCCGTATCAGCTCTTTAGGTTCGGATGTGTCTTGCTGTGTCTCCCTCAAGGTGCCTGAAGTCCTGTGAAAGTCCTCAGGGCTCTGCTTGTCTCTTATATCCCTTGATTGAGGCCTCCTCTCTGGGACAGCTCCTTTCCAGATCTCTCCAACTCCCTCGTTTCCAGAGAGCCAGTAGCGAGCGCTCTCCTCTTTAGCAGCTCTCGAGCCGGGGATTGCTCTGGAACTCCCAGCTGCTGCCTTGTGGAGACTGAGCCACCCTCCGACGCCGCCTGCGCTTTTTCACAAAAGACTGGGGAGGTGAGGGAGCGAGGGGAGAGGAGGAGGGCTGGAGGAGAGGCTGGGAGAGAGGGGTCAGGGTTTTTTTTTTTTTGCTCAACTTTCATTTTTTGGAACTAGCCCTGCACTCCTCTGATGTAACTGTGGGAGAAACAGAGCCAGAAGAAGTTGACTCCTCCTAAAGTTACGGCTCCCCCCTCAATCAAGTTATTCTCTTCTTCTCCAGAGGAGAGAAAGACAGCAGCAGAAAGACATCTAAACTCCAGACTGTGGTCTGAGTGGAGACAACGCTAGTTGGTTTCTCGTTTTTTCACACTCTTTATCTATCTCTTTGTCTTTCTCTCTCTCTCTGTCTGTCTCTTTCTCTCTCTGTCTCTGTCTGTCTCTTTGCCTGTTTTCTTGCTCTCATTCTTTCTCTCTTTTAATTTTCTCTTGCTTATTTTCTCTTTGATTCTATTTTTCTGTTCTCATTCTCTTCATTCTTTTTTGCTGTCTTTTATCTTGCTCTCTTTCTCTTGCTCTTTCTCTCTCTCTCTCTCTCTCTCTCTCTCTCCCACTTTTGCCTGTTTTCTTGTTCTCATTCTTTCCTTTCTTCTTCTTTCTTCTCATTCTCTATTTTTGCTCTCTTCCTTTCTGATGTGCTCTCTCTCCCTCTCTCAGTCTCCCTTACTTTTGCCTCTTTTCTTGTTCTCATTCTTTCTCTTTTCATTCTCTCTAACTCCCTTTTCTTTCTTTTTATTCTCTTTCTCTTCTCATTCTTCATTTTTTTTTATTTCATTGATCTTCCTTTTTTCTCCTTTCTTGTTCTCATTCTCTTTTCATTCTCTTTTTGCTCTCTTCCTTTCTCTTGCGGTCTCTCTCTCTCTCTCTCTCTCTCTCTCTCTCTCTCTCTCCTGTCTCTCTCTCTCTCTCTCTCTCTCTCTCTCCCTCCCTCTCTCTCTCTCTCTCTCTCTCTGTAATGTGAGCCAGTGTGAGTTATTTGACATATGAAGTGAATTGTAGCTGAAGACGTTTTTGCGCGTTGGCTCTATTTCAGTTGGTAGTGCTGATTTGTTGCAGTTGACTGTTCAGTAATGCTCATTAGAGTCGGGGGATTTTTCCATGCTTTCTCGCAGACGCTATGTAATGTACGCATGGCTGCGTGTGGGTTCAGAAGTACGTGCTTGTCAAGTGTTTGAATGTGAGTGGGTTCCCAGGTTCTGACTGGACTACACTTGGTCCAATGAGGTGCGAGAGACATGACTAGAACACACTCCTCCTTAAGGGGGACCTTTAGCCAACCTAGTCTCCCACACGCTGTTTGTCATCATGGACATTTGAGTGCCATTTCACTGACATTGTAGCTCCCCTCCCCCAAACACACTCACACACTCTCTGTTTTTAATCAGTATGATTGATGGGACAGATAAGACTCTTATTAGATCCTCTGTTTGAGGTCTCAACCCTTCATTTGCCATGTCATCATCTCTTTAGCAGCTTGCTTCCTCTTTTCTTAAGTGCGTGTATCCCATGGCTAATATGATTCAGTTGTGTAATACTAGAAAGCACACAACCTTATGGGTTTTTCCTTTCAATTAGGCATTATTGTAGCTGATTATAGCTGTGCCTGCTGCTTAAGTCTAAATTCTTTAAACTCAGTAACTGAAAGGAGATGTTTTTTTGTTTTTAATGACTTTTTGATTTTGAAAGCATTTTTTCCTCATGAGGTTCTCAAGACATCAGAATTTACGTCTTTTTCTCATCATTTGTCCCTACAAAGTTATTAAAAGAAAGTACACATGCGTGCATATAAATGCACGCAATGAAAAAAAAGTGTAGGGTCAGGGATTTTTAAGCAGGAGGTGATTAACTCTTTAAAATCCCACACTTAATACATCATAAGGCTTATATTCTGTAAGTACATGGACTACAGTGCAAACTGAGTTATTCTTAGGTTTTAGAAGTGTATATGAAAAGTTCAGACCCGTTGAAAGATCCTGGCCATTTAAGAGGTTTAATTAGATGCAAAACGCAGTACCCATATTTGCTACCTAAAACATCCACTGTCTTTTATTGCTGACTTTATATTGGCTTGTATGAATGTAGGATGAAATTTAGGGGAGAGAAAATTGGTATGTTTCGAAATGTAGACAGACTAAAGTTCCTTAGACAAATGCCCTCAAGTGATGCACAGCTAACCACGTACAGTAATGTTGAAGATTATAGTAATTTATTCCTTTCCACCCCTGCTATCACTTATTTCTAAAGACCGTAGGCTGCAGTCTGAAGTGCCACTTTGAAAAATATCCCTTTCTCCCGAAGCCACCCATCCTTCTTTTTAATGTTAACGTTTTCAGTCATAATGTTCCTAATACGCTCAAATATTTATCCAAAGCGAAATAAGCATTTTCGCCCACGGCCAAAGAAGATCTGTCTATACTCCTTCTTTCTGGGCTCTTTCCCGCAGTAGGAAAGAGGGAGACATATGACTACATTTTCTCCCTTTGTTTATTCTGTGAGACATGAACAGCTGGACTGGACTGAGCGACACCTTGAGTGCTGGAAACCTATCATTAGGGGGCTTTATGGGGAGAGGAATGTGTTTGTGTGTGATTGGCTGATTGCTGAGCCCAGTAGGAAGTTGTGTGTTTAGGAGAAATGGGATGACCCTGCTGGCCCATTGTGCTTTCTGTTAAGATGGCGCAGCTGGGAACTGTTCTCATAGCATCATGCTCAAAGAACAACACAGAGCCAGCAAACTGACCTTACTTTCTGTATTTGCTCTCTGTAGGAATATACCTGTCTGATCTGACATACATAGACTCAGCATACCCCTCCACCGGCAGCATTCTGGAGAACGAGCAGCGCTCCAACCTAATGAATAACATCCTGAGAATCATCTCGGACCTCCAGAGATCCTGCGAATATGGTGCGTCTCTGCCTCTGGACATGCCAGTCTGAAAAGCACACTGAGGATGCAGATTATGATTATGCGCTGAATTTAAGCCCTTAAACCCTTGAAGTGCCCACACTTCAATTCCCCACTGTGGGTTTCAATTTCAATGCAAGTCTTATATCTTATATCTAATCTCAGAAACATCTCCTGAAACATGAATAATTTAGAAAAGAGAACTTAATGGCATTTTAAATGGAAATTAAATAAATTAACAGTGGTCTCTGACTGTAAATTGCATAATGGTTATGAAAAATAAAAGTAGAAAATTAAAGCATTTTCTGCTGAACTCAAGTAAAAGAAAAAAATACTATGATTCAACTGCTTCTGCTTTTGATATTACTTGTAATTCATCACTTTTCACCTCTGGCAGTTACTGAATAATAAGTATTAAGATTAATAACTGAATGTTCATGGAATTGTATTGTGTTCCTCTCTCAGATGTACCAGAATTGCCTCATGTCCAGAACTATCTCAACTCAGTCCACTACATTGAAGAGTTGCAGAAGTTTGTGGAGGATGACAACTACAAGTGAGTGTTTTGTAGAACCATGCTTTGTGCTTATACGTGTGCATATGTGTGTAACATCTAAAACTTATGTCTGATTCATGTTCAGGTTGTCTTTAAAGATTGAGCCAGCCACCAGCACACCCCGTGCAACTGCCTCTAGAGAAGACCTTGTAGGTAAGGAAACGGGCATCCAAACATCCATGAATGACTCTAAATCTCCGTACACATAAAATATATATAAGTAAACATACAGTTTGTCTTTCTTGTATATAATTATGTGTTGTGTGTTATGGTTCAGGTCCTGATGCCTCTGGTTCGCCGCTATGTGGTCGCCGTGGTAATGCAGCTGAGGGCGCCCTGCCCAAAGTCCCGCCCACGCCGCCTTCCCCTCGCAACCTCCTCCCGTACGGACACAGAAAGTGTCACAGCTTGGGATACAAGTGAGTGTCCTTCACTCACACCCTTCACTTCAACCTTTCATTAGTGGACTTTTGCTGCCCTCACACTCATTATATTCACTCATGCATTTTTAATGCTAGAGTTCCATGCTGTTTGTTATTTGGGTTAATCTCTTTTTTTCCTGTCCAATAATTCAATTCTGACTCTTTTTTTGTAATGGTCCCCACAGGCAGTGAACTCAAAACAAAGCCTTGCTTGTTCTATTAAGCCATGATATCTTGCACTTGTGCACAAACCAGTCGTGAATCATCTGAAAAGTTCAAATGGGTTTTGCAGGAAAATTATACTTGTATCACAGTTAATAGATGAATGTGTGAATGTAGCATGTACCTTTATATGGCCTAAGTTCAGAGGACTACTGAACAAAAGAAAAGGGCTAATATCACAACTGATGACTGGACTGGATGTTACTACAGGAATTTTCTCAGAAACCATGAACTTTTGTGTGTTTTCCCTGTGCTGTAGTTTCATTCATAAGATGAACACAGTGGAGTTTAAGAGCGCTACCTTCCCCAATGCTGGGTCCAGACACCTGCTGGACGACAGCGTGCTGGAAAGCCACACGCCCACACGGGGCCAGGCTGAGAGCTCCACTCTGTCCAGCGGCATCTCATTGGGTAACACACATGCTCTCACATAACCCCCTCTAACCTCCCTGCTACTTTCTTCAGTGGTACTACCTGCACACAAAGAAATGCACATGCTTATATGTAGGGCTTCACCGATACAGACTTTCAGGGCCGATAACAATAGCCAATAATTAACACCTTTTGCCTGATACCGATATTTAAAAAATGATTCATTCATTCAAGTGAAGTGCATAAAACAAGGTAAAACTGTGAAGAGGGGTCATTGATTAGTCATGACAGAGCTGAATCTGACGCAGCAGTTATTGTAGACATTTACATATTTAGCAAGCTCTATAGTCTAGAGCAGGGGTCGGCAACATGCAGCTCCGGCTCTTTTACTGCCCTGTTGCGGCCCAATGGCTGAATTAGATTTTTAGATAAAGTTGCTCTGCTGATTGTTCTATAGCAGTTTAAACGGTAAATGGTCTTAAACGCTGGAGTTGATATTGCCTATAACTGCTACTTCACTGGCCTTTAACCCTGAAGATTGGCAAAAACCTCACCTATCTAGTAGCATATCGAAAAGGCAAAGAGAGAGATTTAAGACAAGTATTGGTAATTTCGTGATGAATGGACTTATTTGCATTTATAATCACTCGAACTGGCTTCCTGATACAATTAATCTGCAAAAAACAAACTCAAACACTAAAAAGTTAGAGGCTGAAGTCAGCTTCTTGTTCAAATTTTCCCGTTCCACCTTACATGGTGCAGCAGTTACATTCTGGCACCTCGGGCACCATGTAAGGTGGAACGGGAAAATCCGAACAAGAAGCTGGAGAATGAGAAGCTGACTTCAGCCTTGTAAAAAGCGGCTATAGCTGAGCCAAATCAAGTCTGCGTTATTTTTAGCCTACACCAGTACAATATCACATACTGAGACATATTTACTGCCAAGAGGGTAAAATGGACAAGAAATGTGGCTCCCAAGGTGGTTTGATTTTTATTGAGAGGACAAAATGGCTCTTCTTAACATTTGGGTTGCCGACCCCTGACCTAGAGCATCTTCTAGTAGTAAGAAAAAGGTAAAGCAGTGACATTCATGCCGAGATGGAGAATTGAACCTTCAGTCTTCGGAGTATAGCGCAGTGGTGTTAACCACCACGCTATGCAATTTAGTGAGTTTGAAAAAATTAAAAAAAAAAATAAATAAACATACATTCCCAGCACTAGTAACTACATAAGCATCAGTGCATGCTTGGGAATAATGTATTAACTAGCCATATATAGTGCACCTCTACACATGTGCATCACATACAGGGATATATCTTGTTTGATAAGGGACATCTAACACTTCTGCTCTCATTGTGGCTTCAGGAAGCAGTGAAGGCTCTGAACTGAGTGAAGAAATGTCTTGGCCTGCATTTGAGAGGTGAGTGTCTGTCTCTCTCCCACCCACATACACATGTGCCTGTCATGCTCTGCTGCCACGCATACATGACCACAAATGGACATTTACATGGCAGATTAGCCTAAACATATGGAATGCTTACATAACCAAGTCAGCCTGTGGCTCTTGTCTAGGGTCAAATAAACATGCTAAGCCTCTCAATTTGGAACCTCTTAATATGAGAAGAAAAAGAATGTGCTCTCATGTTAAAGATAAATATTTTTTAATGCTTATCTATAAAAATAAGTGATGCATTTTATGCTTTTGTGAATGGTCAATTATGTATGACTATTTCCATGAGCACATACTTGTATTTATGCAGTCATGTGTAATTATGTATTTGTAGAAACATTTATATATAATTGCTTGTTTACAAAAACCTTCATGCATAGTTGTCTTTGTAATGTAATTAGAGAAGTGTATCCTTATTATACAGCTATGCATTTCCACAGTATGTGTTAGGTCACTGGTTTTGAGAGTTTAGTACAAAGATGCAAATCCACATGCTTGGAGGTGAAATTCACCCAAAAGTGTTTATTGCTTTTTCTCCTAGCAACCTCTGTTTGTGAATCACTACAACTGACCACAATAATCCCCTCCATAGTGCGTGACTCTGTGTACCAGACCATTTATTCCCCATCTTATTTCTGAAGATTTGGCCAACAGTCTTCAAAGGATTGGATTGAATCATTTGAGTGAGATGCTTTTGTGGCTCATGGTCTCTGGAATTTTGCAATTGCCCTAAACACCATATGCATTCTGCTCTTATTTACTCCTTCCTTGGCCTGAAACCACATGTTGCCCTAATTTTATGATGGAGGTTCCACTATAAGTTGACATCCACCACAATAAAATAGCAAATACAGGATTGTTTTTTTAATGACCCAGCATAAAATGGTGATGGCCTTTTTCAGACGAGGAAAGGAGAAGACCCAGCCACTTCAGAGAAACCCTCTTAGAAGATGGGTCCTTCTCCTGGTGTGTGTACACTGCCCATCAAAAGTCTGGAGAGACTTAAAAAAAATGTTTTTAATAAATGAGTATTTTTGTCGATTTGCAATAACTTAACATACTGAAGACAAACCAGGCTTATATTTTGAGAAAACAACATCATGCACATATTTGTGACGTGTTTAGAAGAGTATAAACTGTATTTTAGAAGCAGACACGCTTTCAAGATTGCTGTGGTCAGGCCTCTACAGAAGAAACATAACTGAGATCCTAGTTTAACACCTCTAACACTTTCATAATGCCTGACAGACTATGTTCCATATTGGGTCTTAAGATCATCAAGACTGGTGAGGCAGCCTGCTGTTACTATGCACCAAAGATTTGGAACTCTTTTACTTATTAGTATACAAGCACATACCCTTACTTTATTTAGTTAAGCATTTTATTAGGTGATACATTTTATTAAATTCATTTAGAAATTCTGTTTTGTTCATTTTATTGTTTTAACTTACATTTTATTTACCTTTCTGATTTCTGATACTTTATTGAGTTTCTGTTCCTTTTACCTTTATTTCTATTAATATTAATTAATATTAAGTGTTTTATTTTATTCCATTGTCTGTTTTATGTACACTGTCTTACTGTTTCATATTTAATTGTACTGTAAACCACTTTGAGGTGCATTTTTATGTATGTAAGGGGCTACATAAAGATATTATTTTTATTAATAATTAAGAAAAAGAAATTACAAAAGTTCAGGTACATTTGTAATTTCTTAAAAAAAAAACTTATGTACATACTTAGTTCACATAATCTGTCAGTTTTTCAGAGCAGTCCTGACTATTTGTATGAAGAAAGCGTGCGCAACAGTTAAGCTGCTTAAGTAGGTTGTTTTGATGAACATATAATTTTTTATTGTTTTATTGTCACAAATACTTCCTTGTGATGTGTTTTCTCAGAATAAACCTGTTTAAAATGCTCCCTTATTGTAAACAGTTTGAAACCACGAATGTCCCCGGACTTTTGACAGTGTGTGTGTTGGTGTGTGTGAGGGTTGAGACTGATCAATGCACTGCTGTGACTGACACCCTACAGGACTCGTTTCTACCACTCTTTGGGCCCAGTCACGCGAGTGGGCCGCATGTCTTGCAGAGGAGGGCTTAGGCCCAGCAGGTAACAGCAGTCACCCTGAGGCGCTCTCTCTTTTCCCTCTCTTTCTCCCTTTCTCTTTCCCCTCTCTCTTTCCCTCTCTGTTCCTGTCCCCTCCTATTTGACCAACCAGCTGCACTTTGTGTGTAATGGTGCTAGATCATGTGATTTTTGCTGTGGCTCTAGGTGATGGGCTTCTCTGAGTCAGACGGAACTGTGCGTGTGTACTGGTGATTTTCTCAGCTTACTGCTTAATGCACATCTTGCTGCAGCCAGAGCAGATACTCTGATCACTGCCTCTGCCTCTTCTGTAGACCCTTTACCTTTACAATGAATGAAGAAAGTCATTTCTTGTGGCAGCTTAGTTGTGATATATGCGTAATGTGATGTAGTGATACAGGCAGTTTGCCTCTCTTTCTCCGACTCTTATCTCAAAAACAGCACCAAAGCTCAGTGGCTTCAACTGCCCCTCAATTAGAGGAGGCAAAAGAGTGAGGGGGAACGCTCTAGAAAGAGACTGTTAGTTTTGTGTGTGTAAGTGTGTTTGTTTGGTTGTGGGGGGGCATGCAAAAACTGCACAGACCTACAATGTCAGGATCCACAAAGTTGTCCTGACTTTGTGAACTGCTTTTACAAAAGCTACATGTCTTTAAACTGAAAGACTAAAAGTGTTAGTGTTTTTTTGTTTGTTTTAGTTAGATTAGGGTTAGTTTTAGAATTTGGCATGGAGACCACTGTGTTACTACTCAGAACAGCCATTAAGCACAAGCTGTCACTGACATCATATCCCACTTCATATTCCACTTTATATTTCACCCAAACACACCTTGGCTGCCTTGCAAATATCTTGCAAATATTGCATGTGCATCTAAAATGGCAAACTAATATATATATATGATGTTATTATTACATATAGGTATTTCAAGTCCTGACACAGTATGAAAACAAACCTGTGTGTGTGCATATATGTACATAAATTTAAGGTGTTTTTTTTGGTGTTATCTATCGAACAAAAGAGCTAACGACAGGCTTTGCCCATGTCACATTAACGAAAAAGATAAAAATGTATGTGTATGAAAGCTGTAGCTGCTCTTCAGATCTTATGTGTGGTGTTTTTTTCTTGCTCACTCTCTCTCCAGATCAAAGCTCTGCGGTATGGGTCCTGCCTCATTCTCCCTCTTATTACACTTCCTTTGTGTGTTTGCGTCTGTGTTTACTTTAATCGATGAGTAGAGTGCTTATGATCTAAATCTAGATTTATGATGTGAGTAAATTGCTGTCATTCACACCAGACTCTGTTTTTCAGTTTTAAGGCTTGTTGGAGTGTTTATACTTTATATGAGAAATCATGTGTTTCATGTCTAATAATCTGTAACCCACCGGTATTTATCATTAATGACACAATGGGTCTGGGTCGGATGACAGCACAATCTATTACTGAGTTTAAAACACAAAATGTATCCTTTCTGTGTGTGCTGTGAGAGTGTAACTCCTGTGTGTGTCTGTGTGTTTGTTTGTTTCTGCAGCTCAGCGGAGTCAGAGGAGTTGGCAGTCCACTTGTACCCCGGAGCAGTGACCGTCCAGGGAGTGTTACGCAGGAAAACACTCCTCAAGGAGGGCAAGAAACCGACGGTACACACTCAGTATCTCAATCTCTCACCTCCTCCATTCAACACAGCGTTTACTAAGAGTGCTATCATGCTCACGTTAACATTCATTTATTTCAGTATGGGAGCTACAAGACAGTACCATAGCTGTCAATGTCTAGAGACAGTAAAGCTTTTATTCACAGCCTTCAATTCCAAACTGTCACCTGTTGCTAACAGGTGTATAAAATCAAGCACATAGCAATGCAGTCTGCATAGAAAAATATTAACAGTAGGATGGGTCGTACTGAAGACCTCAGTGACCTTAAACGTAGCACTGTCTTAGGCTACCACCTTTGCCAAAAATCAGTTTGTGAAATTTCTGCTGGTCAACTGTAAATGCTATTATTATGAAATGGAAGCATCTAGGAGCAGCAACAGCTCAGCCACGAGTTTGGTGTGGAGGAACTCCAGTGGTCTGCACAGGGCCATGACCTTAACCCCACTGAACACCCTTGAGGTGAATTGGAATGTCTGTTGCGAGCCAGGCCTTCTCGTCCAACATCAGTGCATAACCTTATAAATGCTTTTTTTCACTGAAGAGTGAAAATTCCCACAAACACACTCCAAAATCTTGTGCAAAGCCTTCTCAATAGAGTGGAGGCTGTTATAGCTGCAAAAGGTGGGGGCAAATCCATATTAATGCACACAGTTTTGGAATGGGATGCCCAGCAAGCTTATATAGATGTGATGGTCAGGTGTCCACATGCGTTTGGCCATATAGTGTACATTTCTGCAGTTAAAATCGTGTGTTCTGCAATGAACTGAGGAGGAAAGAGTTTGACGATATGTCATCTGCAAGGTGCAATCGAGGCGCATAATATAACTCTAATGCTAATGGAGCTTTATGTCATCATCATGGTTCAATCATATTTTCTTGAACACGTCAGTAAGTAGCAGCTTTGATGTTTTGATTTAAACAAGGGTCACACAAAATAAACGCTAATTAATCAAATAATGATAATATAGCATAACACTTTTTCTGTCAATTCTGACGAGTGACGCTCTCATGACTCATTTCTTGCATGTCGTGATGTCCATTTTGTCTGTACAGCATACGTGACAAGACAATCTCACATTAGTTATTGGCCTGTGCCCACATTCTCACCCCTCCACCCACAGTCTGATCAGATATCTTTATAAGCTGTCAAGTCTAATAAAACAGAAAATAAAAAATAAATCAGAACATGACAAAGCATTGACACTAACAGGACAAAGTTAATGGGGAAATTATTAGGCTAGATTTCTTATATCCTGGCCTTATATGGACGTATACCTCCAAAGTTGTGGGGGGAAAAAAATTAGTCAGTCTTATGGCTTGACACTTCTGCAATACACAGAGTGGACTGAATACAAAATGACTTGATATTAGTGATATCAGACGTACAGATGTTAATTCATTTTTGTTATTATAATTTATTTTTAACAAATTCCAGAAAGGGATAATTACCAAAGTAAAAAAAAATAAACTCCTTTGCACTGCACTCAAAGCCATTTACACTTTGTTTTAATATGAATTTATTTGTCATCAAGTATATAACTTGTGCAAACTATTTTTCTTTAACCTTTAGCTTGTAAAATCACTTTAAATAGGATGGTAACTCTCAAGTCTCAAGTTTTAAGTAAAACTAAGCTTTGTATATAAGCAGCAGACTGTTACTGAAGAAACAAACTTGTTTCACCGTAAGAGTTTTTGTAAGCAATAGCGCTCACATTAGCTCGCATCTTGCTTGAAGAGATGGAGCCATCCAGTCACGCACCAGTAGTGATGAAGTGTGAACTCCAAAATAGTTAATTCTTTGACTCTGATGCATCTGGGGATAGGTTATGTCTTGGCCAGTGACTCTGAGGGGCAAAATGGTTGGAATAGACTCTTCGACTCTGTTTACGTTGTGTTATTTCAGAAATAACATTGTGTCACTCAGTATTATTTCATATTGCTATGAACTGTGACAGCTGCGAAAAGTTTAAGTTTAAGAACCCTTTAATCATGCAAAGGGTTATTTCAGTGTTCACGGTTCTATATAGAGCCATTTTCTTTACTAAATAACCTTTGAGGAACCATCTTTTTTTAAGAGTGTAGAGTTGGAGTTGACTCCACAAAACCCTGAGTTGGGCATTGCCATCACCCAGAACAAGGCCTGTTATGCTCTCTAGGACTCCCAGCCATTCATTGCTGGGCTATTGTTGAGGATCAAACTCACAATCTGTCAGTAATAGGGTAAAATGCATATTTGATAAATATTATCTTTACTATAATCTGCTGTTGCATAAACATAAACATTTTGGTTAAATTACACAGCAGAGAAAAGTAATTATGACATAATTTATCACTTCTAATATAATCATCGCAATAAGTTTTTTGTTCATCGTATCTTTATGCATAGCATGCAGCCCTGGAGTGAATTGAGTAGACGTTCCATTCTCGCTAATTCATTCAGAAATCCATTGACCCATGCAAATCGCTCATAAACATTCCAGATGTCCTGCAGCAGCATTACTTCATTACTTCAAAACTTATCTCATCCGAATAGAACTTCAGTGTTTTTCTCGCCTTACTTTAGCTTTTACCTCCATTTCTCCTTTTCTCCTCTGCCTGCTACCATCTCTCTCCACCTGCTTTATCTGATTGTCTCTTTACACTTCATCATCAACCTTTTCTGCACCCCCACACTAAATGTTCTGTCCTGCTTCCTCTCCAAACACATTCTTCGTTTCCCCCCACCCCCACCCTCACCTTCTCGTCGTTCATTATCTTCTTTTCCAAAACATTTCTGTCACACTGGTTCTTCTGTTTATCTCTCAGCTTGTTATCACTCTCGGCCTGTTTCAGGCACTGCTGACTAGTTGTGTTTCATCTCTCTTGTCATCAGTGGTCAAGTATTTTACTTTCTGCATCTTTCTGATTTTTTTTTTTTCCCCATTTTCAGTTGTGCTGTCATTGCTGAGTCTGGCCTAGCACCCCCCCCCGGCACTGTCCTAGTGGAGTGTGTGCGTGTGTGTGTGTGTGGAGTGTAAAAAAGCCAAAGCAGTAAAAAAAAAACATGCCTTTAAAGTTTGGTTATTGGACCAGAGGGACCCTTTTACAACCACGTCTCTTTCACAATTTCTCTTTTGCATTTATTCTATCAAATCATATTCTTTTTCCTACCTGACTTCTTGGCCTTTTGTACTTTAATAAAAGGTGCTCTTCTCAGTCTATTTGGCGGGGAAACAGTCAGGGCAATGGTTATGATTATTAAGGGTCAGAGGATGTTTGGTCATGCCTGTGGTCAGCTGTAGATATGAAAAGAGTCTGGTACTCTGTGCTTTATAGCCTCTGTTGCTATTAGAGTGAAGCAATAAGGGCTATGCTATTACTGTGATTTAACACAGGGCAGTGCCAGCATATGAAGTTATTTGATGCTCACCATTAACTTAAATGTTAAGAGAGCATCCTTTGCTTTTATTACCCGGTGCACAAATGCATCTCTCTCACACACACACACACACACACACACACACACACACACACACGCACACACACAATTTATTTGATTTTTATAGGGCTGACTTAATGTGTTCTCTCTCTCTAGGACCTGTTGCCCCTTTTAAAGTTTAGTTTTATTTCCTAACTAGCTATGGCCTAAAAGGATCTTAAACTACTTCCTCTCCCTTGCCGTGTGTGTGTGTGTGTGTGTGTTTTAGGGCTGCACAGTTATTTGCATTTTTATCATCATGATAACCCATGATACTTTGTTTGGACTACGATGACAAAATGGATCAAATTTCATAACGCACACAGGTGTAATGGTAACGCTTTACTTGAAGGGTGTGTACATAACACATTATAACATCTTACATAAACACTTCATAACATGTTCATGAATGGTTAAATCAGCATTTATAAAGCATACATCTTTTACGTAATGTTAATATGGACCACTATATAATTTTACTGAGATTCATTTTTTTTTAGAATAAAAGTCCTGAAGTTTTCAGTAAAATGCCTCATTTCTGTACAGCTAAAATAAAAATGACCTCACTTTATCCATTTGGTCGTTTAGTGCTTTGACAGTCAGGCATGTTTCACCTATTCTTTCAACTTTTTTTCAATTAATTTTTCCTTTTCTTAAGTATTTGTTGCGTGTCACTTTAGTATATGGAAAGCAAAAGTTACTCATAATACTCATCCATTCCCTGTAGATGCTGGATAACCACATGAGTGTAAGTAGACTACTTTGCATTGCAGTTTAAAGATCTACATAACATGCATTTCAGTCTGGTAAACATCCATCACTTTTGAGGTAAAGGTAAAACAGAATTTTTAAATCCTTGTGATAAAAGTGCAACATTTAACCTCAAAGAGTGTCAATTAAATGGAATAACCAATGTATAATTATACTTGATGTTTCTCCAATACCATTAGCAAGGAAGGACTTCACTGAAAATAAAATAAATCCTCTTAAGTAATCCTTGGGATAACAGTGCTAGCATTTAACCCAGGAGAGTTAAACTTAGGATAAATAATGTTATAATGAATAACATAATGAAATAAAAAAATAAATAAAATAATGAAACAAATAATTAAAAAGAAGTTGAAAGTGTCAAAGCACTTAATGACCAAAGGGGTAACATTCGGTCAGTTTTATTTTGGCTATCCAGAAATGAGGGTTTTCACTGAAAATAATAGTTTTTTCAAAACAAAAAATTAGGACTTTTATTTTCAAAAACGTCTCTCAGTAAAATGTAGTAAATCAGTAAAAATAGTCCATGTTAATTATATGTAAAATATACGTGTATGTATGCATTATGAATGTTGAAAATGTTATGAATGTGTTATGTAGACGCCCTTCAAGTAAAGTGTTATCAGCGTAATTAGATTGGCTGGCATGTTGTGTTAGGAGTCGTATGTAATATACGAGCTGTGGTTTGCTTTCCTGAGGGAGTTTTGAGCCCTGACCTTATCTGTGTGCAATGATTGATATAAATATTTGCAGTGACAGTTTGGGACACTAAGCTAGTGCATCTTGAGGCCAGAATTAAGAATTTGTGGCCAGAATTATAAAAACGTGTTCATTCTATGCACCTTGCCACATGTCCACTACATGTATTTTCATTATACCAGTAAAACCAGTAGGGAATGACAAAGCAGTTCTCATTTTTCATGAAATTGTCAACCAGATTAAACATTTTTGTCATTTGATCTCTCCAAGCCATCTCCATCCTCATCAAGCTTCGTTCAGTCAGCCTGCAGTCTTGTTATTTGGATCTCTGAGAATCATAGTGCTGTAACAGTGCTTGTGTAAAAGGCTGTGGCTACACTTTTGAATACTGTATTCTCTAAATGAGTTGCTCTCAGTAAAGAATGAGCTTGTGTTGCCTGTGTGTCAGAGAAATTAACATCTTTAACCACTGACCTGTAAAAATGCTTCAAGCATGATGACTATTCTGTCTTCCAGTGTTGTGTGTAAAATGTGTAAAGCCATAAAGGCAACAAACCTGCATCACCATAAGGACCTTTTTAAGTAATTAATACAGGCCTATATAGAAAATGCTGTTTAGGGAATGCTGACGATTTTCTAACAGATCAAGCAAAAAAAATTGCAGTTGTGCTTTATTTTGCAGATTGCTTTTGTGGTTTTGTTTTTTTGCTTAAAAAGTGTACTTGTTGAACTTTAGGGAGAGATTCTCTGTGTTATTCATTGTTTATAGCCTCTTACATCATCATTGCAATATTCAGCTTTATTGAACATGACATGTCCATATTGTGCAGACCTAGTGTATGTATGCTTTTTGTACATTTTGAAGACAAAAATTTGCTGTCCTTGTGGGAAAACCAGAGAAACACAAGACCAACATTTTTTTTCCTATTGCAATCTGTGATCTTTAATGAAAACATCTCTCTCTCCTTTCTCTTTAGGTGGCTGCATGGACAAAGTACTGGGTAGCTCTGTGCGGTACTCAGCTCTACTATTACACTGCCAAATCTCTCAAAGCCACAGAGAGGAAGCATGTGAGTGTCTTCCAGAAAGTCTCAATCAGGAGTTACTGATACTGTACACACTTAGTACTGCCTCAGGTTAGGCTCTGAGGCTGCTGCGCTTTAGTGCTTTGCAATTCCATTGTGTGTGTGTGTGTGTGTGTGAGAGAGAGAGAGAGAGAGAGAGAGAGAGAGAGAGAGAGAGAGAGAGAGAGAGAGAGAGAGAGAGAGAAAAGAAAAATTCTGCACAGCTTGGCCCGCCGCTCAGAGAAAGAGACATGTAATTTCACAAGAGCCGCAGGGAGAAAGCAAACCTTCAGAAAGAAAGAATGCAAACAAGCAGGGTTCCTAATGACTGGGTAATCAGCCCGTGCAGTGTGCGAGGGCAGCTGCTTACACTCATTGGATAATGAGCTGTATGACATCATCAGTCCTGGACCAGCTGTCACTCACTCACAGAGCTAAAAGGAACCACATGCAGTGAGCACACGCACATGCTTGCGCCAACACACACGAAAATTACACAGAGACATGCAGATTAATGTGAGTTGTGAGTTGACTAATGCACTAATACAGGCACTCACACCAGTATACACACACGCATGCATGTGAAAGTGAAAAGTACTTCTGTCCTCTATGCAGAAAGAAACACATTTCCTTGGATTTTAATGTATAATTACTGTTTTACACTGTTATTTTGCTGAATTTAACATATTTGGGGAGCTATTTTACATAGTTATGTTTTATATATATATACACTGCTCAAAACAATAAAGGGAACACTTAAACAACACAATATAACTCCAAGTAAATCAAACTTCTGTGAAATCAAACTGTCCACTTAGGAAGCAACACTGATTGACAATCAATTTCACCTGCTGTTGTGCAAATGGAATAGACAACAGGTGGAAATCATTGGCGATTAGCAAGACACACTCAATAAAGGAGTGGTTCTGCAGGTGGGGACCACAGACCACTTCTCAGTACCTATGCTTTCTGGCTGATGTTTTGGTCACTTTTGAATGTTGGTGGTGCTTTCACACTCGTGGTAGCATGAGACGCACTCTACAACCCACACAATTGGCTCAGGTAGTGCAGCTCATCCAGGATGGCACATCAATGCAAGCTGTGGCAAGAAGGTTTGCTGTGTCTGTCAGCGTAGTGTCCAGAGCCTGGAGGCGCTACCAGGAGACAGGCCAGTACACCAGGAGACGTGGAGGAGGCCGTAGGAGGGCAACAACCCAGCAGCAGGACCGCTACCTTCGCCTTTGTGCAAGGAGGAACAGGAGGAGCACTGCCAGAGCCCTGCAAAATGATCTCCAGCAGGCCACAAATGTGCATGTGTCTGCACAAACGGTTAGAAACCGACTCCATGAGGATGGTATGAGGGCCCGACGTCCACAGATGGGGGTTGTGCTCACAGCCCAACACCGTGCAGGATGCTTGGCATTTGCCAGAGAACACCAGGATTGGCAAATTCGCCACTGGCGCCCTGTGCTCTTCACAGAGGAAAGCAGGTTCACACTGAGCACATGTGACAGATGTGACAGAGTCTGGAGACGCCGTGGAGAGCGATCTGCTGCCTGCAACATCCTTCAGCATGACCGGTTTGGCAGTGGGTCAGTAATGGTGTGGGGTGGCATTTCTTTGGAGGGCCACACAGCCCTCCATGTGCTCGCCAGAGGTAGCCTGACTGCCATTAGGTACCGAGATGAGATCCTCAGACCCCTTGTGAGACCATATGCTGGTGCGGTTGGCCCTGGGTTCCTCCTAATGCAGGACAATGCTAGACCTCATGTGGCTGGAGTGTGTCAGCAGTTCCTGCAAGATGAAGGCATTGAAGCTATGGACTGGCCCGCCCGTTCCCCAGACCTGAATCCAATTGAGCACATCTGGGACATCATGTCTCGCTCCATCCACCAACGTCACGTTGCACCACAGACTGTCCAGGAGTTGGCGGATGCTTTAGTCCAGGTCTGGGAGGAGATCCCTCAGGAGACCATCCGCCACCTCATCAGGAGCATGCCCAGGCATTGTAGGGAGGTCATACAGGCACGTGGAGGCCACACACAATACTGAGCCTCATTTTGACTTGTTTTAAGGACATTACATCAAAGTTGGATCAGCCTGTAGTGTGTTTTTCCACTTTAATTTTGTGTGTGACTCCAAATCCAGGCCTCCATTGGTTAATAAATTTGATTTCCATTGATGATTTTTGTGTGATTTTGTTGTCAGCACATTCAACTTTGTACAGAACAAAGTATTCAATGAGAATATCTCATTCATTCAGATCTAGGATGTGTTATTTGAGTGTTCCCTTTATTTTTTTGAGCAGTGTGTATGTATATATATATATATATATATATATATCCCTGTCCCTGTTTCTCTCTTTCTGTCTTTGGCTCAGTTTAAGTCCACCTCCAGTAAGTGTGTGTCTGTAGTGGGGTTGATGGCCATGATGGCGGACGACCCCGAGCATCCTGATGTCTTTCTGCTGACTGACTCTGAGCACGGTGAGCATTTAGCAAACCTACATCATACCAGCCACAACTTGAGATTTAAAATACTGACTTACAGTGTGTAATCATTGTTGGTCAGAATACTTTGAAAAAGTAGTGATGGCTAAATACTGAATTCACTGTTCTTAATATACTCAGTAACATATTCCAATACAATACATAGAAACGTAACATGTTCAGAATACGTTTAGAATACATATTGATAAGACACATGGGGAAATCTCTGCTGTTGTAATTCGTATTAAATTCACACTGTTTTCTTCATGTAATTCTTCTGTGAATGTGTTTCACTAAAAATTCACTCATTTAAGTGAAGTAAGAAAATTGTTAAAATTGTTTTGGCTCTCATCACCAGCTGCGGTCCATTGTGGCTAAAGCAGTGAACTGATTGAAAAGCTAGAATTGTACTCATTGTTGGCTTCTATGCTGAAACAAAACAATTGACCTATCTATGCTCTATGTGTGAATGCATTTTTTATGATTTGCATTGGCAAAAGCTCATTCAACTCAGGCAGGCTTAGACTTTACGACTTTGCCTCGATAACACAAAAATCGCAAAGAATTCTATGATTGTGCATTGAAATTGATTTCAGAATGAATAATGTTACACACTCCTCAATGGCCATTAGTTCCTTTTGCAACCAAATCAGCGAATGTGACTGCTGCTACAATGTACTTTTAAAAAGCAACCATGGGGTGACATAAGTACATTTAGATGACATTAGAGATGGCAAAATGCAAATGAAGCAAAAACACACCTCTTTACTCATGGTTTTTAAGGCAGAACTTTGCCACTGTTGTGCCTTAGGTAATCATACTGGGGCCCCATGGGTCAGCAGGACCCGCAAAGACCAGGCTCCCTAAAATCTATATTGGACCCCTTGTGAAAATAGCAACACGTTTGTACACCCGTTACAACATACCTCACTAGTTAGCTTCCATCAACACAGACATCTCCCTCTTATTCATAATGCTTCTCATCTGTTTTCAAAAGGATACTTTACAGCTTTCAACATATTTTTCCTAAAAACTTTAATATGTAATATAATAAAAATATGTATAACTTCAGATGCTAGCAAGTATACTTGTGGTGATATCCATCACAGAAACATGCTGCTTTTTAATGCAGTGCTGTCTTTTTGGAACATATTGAAGGCATCAATTTCAAAATGAACATATACAAAAAAAGAAGTTTATAAGATAAAAGACATGATAAGATAAAACATTAAATATCTTGTCTTTTACTATTTTTGTTTAAATACAGGTTAAAGTGGAATTACAAATTACTGCTTTCTGTTTTTATTTGATTTTCACATACTGTCCCAAATTTTAGAATTGAGTGTTTATATGTTTTTAAAGTGACTATATTTAACACTGCAGAGTAATGGTTTTTGGTACACTGCTGATATATAGGCATTTTTCAAGGTTGGCAGGCCAGCCGTGCATGCACACACACACACACACACACACACACACACACAGTCTGGCACACTGAACCTTTCTGTGAGCATACTTGTAATTTCTCTTTGGCTCATCTGTTCTACATTCCCCCTGCTTTGGATTCCTGATCTGACATCACTACAGCTGCGTGTATGTGTCTGAAACAGAGAGAAAGTGTGAAAAAGAAAATGAGTGAGAGATTCTGCACCTGCAGCATGTTCTTCTTTCTGAGGAGTGATAGAGGGGTCCAAGGAGAAAAGAGAGATGGACAAATAAAGAGAGGAGTGGAGTGGGAGTAGAGACAATCAGGAAACTCGCTGGCAGCAAGCAAAGAACAGTGTGTGAAACAGAGGCTAATTGTGTGTGTGTGTCTGCAGGAAACTCTTATAAATTCCAGGCAGGGAACAGAATGAATGCTCTGCTGTGGTTCAAACACCTGAGTGCAGCATGTCAAAGCAACAGACAACAGGTAAGTTTGTGCCTTCTGTTTTTGCTCCTGTGTCCAGTGGTGTGTCCAGACCAATATATCGCTGCTGTCGTTATCTCTTTTTTTGTCGTTTTTTGGTTTTTGACATAGTTTGAAAATGCCTGTTGTCCTCTACATTGTGTCTAAATTTCATGATGAACAGACCAACATAAACAGCCCAAAATGACTGTTTCCATTGATTTACATTGTCATCCTTTTCCTGTAGTTATCATTTTGAAGATATGAGGTTTTCTTCCAACAACAGTGATATATTGGTGTATATATGTAAAATCTACTCTTCTCTGTCAATCATGTAATTGTGTTTTCTTTTTTCCTGATTTTTAGTTTGTAACAAACTCAAATGCTTACTTGAAAAAACACAGTGCAGTCAAAAAGGGAAGCATTGTGCAAAATCTACACTGCAATACAAACACAGTAGCACACAAAAATCTCTGCTTCTGCACATTAAACTTTATGAAAATGGTGATACTGTTGCAAACAGGGCTGCACAAATGATGTAACTCCTACAGGGGCAGAATTAAAGGAGCTGATTTCTGTCAGGGGTTAAACAAAAAAAAAATGTTTTAATTTAAAGAGCTGCATTGTACAGTTTAGTCTGGTTGCAGTGAGTGTTATCTGTCATTCCAGCAGCACTGCACAAGTCTGTTTTTGCCGTCTGTTGCAAGCATCATTCACTAGATGCATGTTCAGACTCTCCCAAGACGTTTTCATCTACAACATCCCAGCATTGCGGAAACTTTCCGCTTTGCTGGTCGTATCACGATGCTTCTGGTAGAGTTAAAAGTCCTGTATTTTAAAGCCATATGTGTGTATAAAACGCAAATGAGTAATTGCCCAGTAGAACAAACACATTCTCTCCCGTTTCCTAAAAGAAGCGACAGACAATTTCTAACTGTCCATGACAACCTGAGAACCATTCGACTGCTAGCCACGATGGCCAGTCAGTTTTCTGTGGGTATCAGTGCCCTCACTCACTGTGTCTCTCATTCACTCTCTATCTGTGTCTGTCACTGAGTGTGTTTACATGTACCCAATAATCCGATCATAATCGGTTTCTGCAGTTATCCGATTATTCAAATGGTCATGAACCAAGAAAGGTGGATTTTAGCTCAGTAATCAGATTTCTCAGTGCATGTAAACTCTTACTCTGATTTCTTTTGGATTTCTCAGTCTGCACATGTGCGAAACAGACTGCTGGGCCAGAAATAAGCGAGCAGCGTTGCCGCGAGACGCAGCAAAACACTTTTGGAGCGACGCTGAAACCAACTACATTCTCGATGAAATTAAGGATTTAAACGTTCTATATCTTTTTAGATGACGTATGTTTATATATTTAGGTAAAGTGGCACAATGTTTTTTTAAAAAAGCCACAGCATGAAGTTTGAGTTTTACATTACATTTACGTCACGTCTTCTTCTGTGAGTTTATTGGCCGGTTGCAAAGCAGACGTCTGATTACTGTCTGATTCATGTAGACCCGGAGTTTCTCAAGTGCATGCAAACATGTTGATTTGATCTGATTTTCTGCACTTATCAGATTATTAAGTGCATGTTAACAGACTCACTGTATCTCTCTCTCTTGCTGTCTTTCTTTCTTTCTGTCTTTCTTTCTTTCTTTCAGTCTCTCTTGCCCCCCCCGAGACATGACTTCTGAATTATCAGCACTAAATGCATTTCATCTCAGCTAGCTGCGGAGTGGTCTAAACTCTGGATGCATTTTATCAGCATTTCTGTTGACTTAAAGTGCCACATTTTTTGATGCTTTTAGGTGAAGCATTTTTATAAAAGCTTCTGTTGTCTGCTGAATCCACTTAGCACAGCTCTTTTTAAAAAGGCAAGAACACCCAAACACCATAAACAGTAGAGAAATGTACCCCCTGTGCTGTAGCCCGGTCTACTGAAAGTGAGAGCCGTTTTCTCGAATGGCCTGCTGATTATATTTATCTTGGGGTAAATAGTTCCAATCTGGTCAGCAATTAGGTACGAGCGCCCACTGAATCTGTGATCCAGAGCACATTCACTCTTCTATATAGACTTGGAGCACAATGGTAGAAATATTTCTGTATAAAAGTGTAAACTATGATTTCTGATTCTGTCTGTTCACTCTTCACTCTCCTTTTGCTTTTAGGTCCCAGCAAATCTAATGTCCTTTGAATGAAAGGGCGAATCAGATGGAGAGAGCTGTTAAAAGGCAGGTGCTAATTGAGGGGAGAGAGGAGCTGAAGGAGTGGAGAAGTTGAGGAGTGAGGGAGAGAAGAGGAGCAGAGAGTGAACACTTAATGGTAGCTTTTCCACTGCCGTCACCCAGCCTGAGTCACGCAGCGAAGCCCTCCAAACACCACTGCCTTACAGAGTGAAGCACACGCATGTATGTGTGTGTTGACGGCTCCACTGGACTGGAGGACTTGAGCCCACTCTCTTCTCTCTCTCTTTCTCTCTCTCTTTCTCTCTCTCTCTTTTTCTTTCTCTCTCTCTCTTTCTTTCTTTCTCTCTCTTTTTCTTCTCTCTCTTTTCTTTCTTTCTCTCTCTCTCTCTCTCTCTCTTTCTCTCTCTCTCTCTCTCTCTCGCTCGCTCGCTCTTTTTTTCTTTCTTTTGTTCAATCGGTCTTTCTCTTTTGCTCTCTTTTCACTCTTTTGTTTGCTCTGTCGCTCTTTCTCTCAATCTCTTGCTCCTTTCTGATTTTTGTTTCTTTCTATTTCTCTCTCCTTCTGTCTTTCTCTCTTTCTTTCTGTCTCGCTCTCTATTTCGTTCACTCTCGTGTGCACTGTCGCTGTTATTGTTTATCTTTTGCTCTTTGTTTTTTGTTTCTTACTGTTTCTCTTTCACCCACCCTCTCTTTGTCTGTTTCTTTTAATTTCACTGTCTCTGTTTATTTCTTTCTCTTTGTTTTTTTTTCTTTTTCAGTCTTTTTCTGTCTCTGTCACTCATTTGCTTCTCTCTGTTTCTTTCTTATTCTTTTCTTTCTCTCTTGCTCTCTCTCTCTCTCTCTCTCTCTCTCTCGTGCTCTCTTTTTCTATCTCCTTTTTTCTCTCTCGCTCTTTCTTTTTCTCTCGCTCCCTCCCTTTATTTTTGTTTCTTAGCACTCCCTCCATCACTTTCTCTCTCTCTCTCCCTACCAAAGTTTAAAGTGAGGAACTCTGCACCCCTTCCACCAGGATTCCTGCTCCTCCTTCTCCTCCGTCTTCACGACCCACCCCTCGTTCATGATGCCTGCGCTCCGCATGGATGCCTGGATCTTAACCCCATCTCACACCTTTACTTGTTCATTTTTTTATAAACATATTTTTCTTCACCGAGTCCTGTTTCCTTTCTCTCCTTCTTGGCTGAACTCTGGCGGAAGAAGAGGGGGTCCTCTCCAAGAGCCAAGCCCAGGCAGTCTTCACTGTCCAGGGGTAAACATTCGGACTGTTTCCCCCCCTCGCACCCAACACAGAGCCAGAGGCTTCAGGACCTTCTGTTAAGGAGACTATTTATGAAAGGGTTTTGTCACGTTTAGACAAAGACCCTGGCACTCTCACACTCACTTATGCACACACACAGCACACACTCGCACAAGATGTTGATTGTCTTTTCACACACTTGAGTTGGGCTCAAGCAAGCATGACACAAGATTTTCCACATGCAGGTTTTAACTGCAGGGAGTGGAAGTGTCTCACTTGTTAAAAACAATTGCAACAATCGCAACCAAACGCAAAAAGGGCTCCGATACTCAATGAATTCCAGATGAAAAGTATTTCCCAACACTCTTCTTTGAATGTCTGCTTCACTTTTTTTTTGTTTTCTATTATCTTATGGATTTGTGTAAATTACACCTACACACACACGCCAGTGTACACATACACACAGTCCACACACAACTAGTGTTTGAGATGAAAACAGTGAATCTTTTTCATTGTGGCCAGAGGCACTAAAGCCATCTGTCTGTTCTGTCTCGGAAAGATGTACGAGGTTTAAGAAGAGTGTGAAAGATGCGGAGAACGTATGTGAGAATGAAAGATGATGCAAGAATTGGGTTGGGTGTGCAACGCAATGTGTATAAATATACGGGGGTGTTCATAGCAGGTGCTCTTCATGGTACAACTGAGGCCACACAGGCCTCTGAACAGGGTCCTATGTATAGTCAAATTTCTCTCGCTCTTTCTCTCTATCTCCTTTTTTCCATGAATTACAGTGCAACTCAAATGTCTGCCAGGACACAAACACCACATTTTCATTGTCACTTGAAAGCTGTGAATGTTTATTATTCTTTTGCCTGTAATGTCGATCGGTTTATCTTGTTTCTTGCACCGATAGTTTGTCATATCAAATAGGATTAACAATTCAGACTGTTAGCTAAAGGACGTGAGTGAGAGACTTCAGCGGAAATTCACAGTCCGTACAGAATGCTATCCAGGAGCCATTTATTTTGTTTATTTCTTCATTTTATTTAGTTTACTGACTGTTTATTTTATTTGCAGTATTACTCGGGTAGATGACGTTGCACTTGTCTAGGTTGTTTTAATTCGTCTGTTACATTTAATTTAGTCTTTCTGTTTTACTTTTTGACATTTTTTAACGTGTTTTGTGTTTGATTTTATTTTGCTAGTGTTTTCCTTTTGTAAACCTAACCAAATGAGAGTTTATTAATACAGCACATGGCTACACTTCTGTGGGTTGAGGGAAGGCTAGACTGTGAAGAGGCAGTGCTGGGTGATTTTTAAATGATCACATTGATGTGTTTCAGACCACTATGCTATATCTGTAGAGCCCAGCTGATAGAAGGCTCTTCTCTCACAAAGTCTAGTTTCACACAAGCGTATCTGTGTTCTCTGTGTGCATCCAGTTCTGGTAGGAACAAGAAAGGAGGTGCGATATTAATGTAGAACAAATGAAGACCATAACCATTCAGAGGAGGAAAGTGGATACACTCTTAAAGATAAAGATAAGGGTATTTGGAGCAGTACCAGAGAAGAACCACTTTTGGTTCCTTAAAGAAACATTCAGTTGTTGGTTCTTCTTTCAAAAACTCCTTTTCCTAAAAGAGCCCTCCAGATGGTCCACATTTGTTGCTCCATCTGTGTACGTTGGAAGTCAAGAGGAGATGTGGACCATCCGGGTGGCCCTGAGGACACGGTTGAATCACTGCTTTGGCAAATCAAAATTGATTCTTTTGTGGCATCATTTCAAACAGCCCATTTTAGAACCTTTATTTTTGAAGAATGTGGTCCAAAATGGGCAGATCATTTGCTGCTTCCTCTTCATTTTTATTTTAGTATGTTGGTTTTCTGTTCTTTCTTCTCCAGTCACCAGTGTTCTCCCTTCAGCAGTGTCCTCTTACTGCTCTCCTGTGCTATTTAGTTTACATGCTTGAGCAAATGGTTCAACCAGTGATCAAAAAGAATCAGTCTGTCTATTATGATTCTCTCCTCTATCTCTCATCCAGCACTCAGAGAGTAGAGGAAGGCACTGATGGTGCTGTTGTTTACTGAACAGTATTAAAAGCTGGAGTGTTAAGGGGCTGTCATGAGTTCAGTCTGGGTCATTTTTGTAGCAGATATTCTCTTTGAGAAATCTGAGAGCTTTGAGAGGCTGATTGTTGTGAATGTTTGGAGCCTCTGCTGGATTCTGCTGTTATCTAGCTGATCCTTAAACTAATGATAGCAGTGCGTGGAATGATTGTGAATGTGTCTTAATGTTCTAGTTAGGATTTCAAATAGGGATGCACCAATATGGGGATTGTTGGCTGATGCAGATGTGGATATCTTTGATGCTGACACATGAATGTCGTATCAAATGAGCTTTTTTTTCTACAGATGCAACTGAATAAAACACAGACGTTAGTATAGCCAAGAGTCACCAAAACGTTCCACTCTTGGGAAGTACAAGAAATACATCCTCGAATATCTGTTTTAAATAGCGGTCAAATCTAAACGTCAGTCCGATGCAGACAATATCATTGTGCATCCCTAATTTTGATCTTGCGTTGGTGATGAGACGTCGGTTGCTGGCTAAACTTGTTTTTAGCTCCCTTGAACCACAGGCATATTATTCTGTTATTAATCTTCAGTAACTGCTAAGTAGCTAACCAGGTAGTTAGGTAGTTATGAAGGTGAGAAACTGAAGTGCGGGCCTGCATACAGACCTTCAGGGTTTAAGGGCTTAAATCTGCTGTATTGCTGATATAAGCAGCTGTTCAGGCTTTCTGAATGAACACTGATGTTTTGAGCGATGTTTGACTTCAGCTTTCCATGGCAGAGAGACCTCAGAAACCAATTACTGCGAAAGGAAACAAATGAGCCAAGAGCCAAGCACGAGTTCTCACATGTTTACTGTTTAAGAAGCCATATTGGCTCGAATCTAGAGTTTGCATGGGGCAGTTTTGGCTCCAGGTGAAGTGGAGCAGCCATTATCTTTTACACAGGGAACTTGTGAGTGGTGTTATCTTCAGCATGTGGCTGAATGGGGTTGGCAGCTTTGTCCTCAGCTTGCAGTACGTCTTTGAGCTTCAGGCACACACACAAACAGCCACAGGCGAGGGAACGAGGTGACAGGTGAGAGTTTTACTCTTTCACACGCTGACAGACCGCCCAGAGAGAAAGAGAAATAGTGGAAATGGAAACTGAAAGAGAGGGAGAGAGCACTGAGTGTTAGTAAGCAACAAGCCAGCCACATCATCTAACTGAGCAATTCGCTGTTCTCTCATCAAAATTTCGTATGTTCAAAATGAGAACTTTACAGGAGAAGGAAAAAACATAGTCTACTGTTAATGTAAGTCAATGGAACCAGACTTTTGTCCAAGTGATTTTGGGCCATTTCTTTTAGTCCATTCATCATGAAATTTACATACAATATGAAGGACCATGGGTACTTTCAAATTAGGTCATAAACTGAAAAACAAAAATGGAGATGCAAGGTTTTGCTCCGACAGCAGCGGATTATGCTGCTTGAAGAGCTTCAGGCTTTGACCACAGAGCACTGAGATCACAGTGCACTTCATGGGAAAGCGGTCACAGACTGTCATCGTTCCCTCCCTCTGTCTCTTGCTCTGATTTCTTTGAAAAGGCTTTTTCAGCAAATCTGAGCTTCGGAGCTGCGCTTGCTTTTAACAGATGGAAGAAGAAGCCGAAGGGCAGAAATGAACAACGACTGGAGAATCGCAGTTGATTGTTGAGAAAATGGTGACTGGAGTAGCTAAGCTGCCCCTGTAACTCTCCTCTATTTATCTCCTCCTCCATACTGTCTGAGTGTCTGCCAAGTACAGTTGAATGAAATGGTATTCAGAAGCAGGTTATGCAAGATTTTACAGCAGAAAACGGTCCAAACACATTTGGTTAATGGATGTCATTGTACGTCACACCATTGTACGAGTCTGGGAGTTAACATTCTGGAGTATAATGGGAACATTTCTTTTTTTTATGTGTGTGGTATATCTTGTATTTTTTCTCTCTCAACTCTTTTCATTCTTGGAGACATCCCCTGAATGTCACACATGCATTATAACTTGAACTAACACACTGTTTAACATATATACAGTATACTTTATACAAATGCACAAACATGAGTGAGAGATTTTTTTGCTGTTGTTCCTTCTGTTGCGGTTCATGTGTAGCTTCTCTTCCTTTCGCTCCGCTGGCATTTGTGGGATGGGACAGATACGGAGTGTCATTAAAGGAGTTCGGTCTGTGAATGTGATTCATTCAGTCACAATATCAGTGATGTCATTCTGTGCCATCCCACTTCGCCTCCATCTGTAGCCTGACCCCAAGGCCCAAGCGCTATGACCTCTGACTGCAGAGAGATGTGCTTGTGGCTTCCTGACAGGGCAAAAAAACAACAAATAAACACTTGCGTTCCTTTTTTCTAAATCCTGATGCTTTGTTTGTTTCTTTTGCCAAGAAACGGCTCATCATATATGACAGCTGAGTGCGTGTGAATCAGCTTTCTTATACACTGCGGTTTGTGTACATGTGGGTGTGAGCGCTTGCACATAAGCTGGTGTTGTAACACTCAAGGTTTCTAATCAAAAATAAAACTGACATGAATTATTAACCGTTTCTGAAGTTCTTAAATAAATGTACGATTCCTCCTGTCCTTAAGGTGAGCTGTTGCTGTCTGCAGCAGTGATGCAGTGCAGCATGTAGGTGGTGTGAAGTGCTATGTTGGTAATGTATTTCTATAATGGCACATGTGGGTGGGAATCATGGAGTTTGTGAGAGTATACACTGTGTGTGCTAATGTTTGTAGATACCAACATTTCTTCTAAAATCTTGGGAATTAATAGGCAGTTTGTACTGTCTTTGCTGCATTAACAGACTCTGCTCTTCTGGGAATGCTTTACACTAGATGTTGGAACATTGCTGTGAGAATTTGATTGCATTCAGCCACAAGAGCATTAGTGAGGGCAAGTACTGATGTTGGATGATTAGTACTGGATCACAAACATCCCTACAACTCATCCCATAGGTACTAGATGGAGCTCAGTCACTCCAGAGAACACAGTTCTACTGATCCACAGCCCGTTGCTGAGGGCCTAATACCCCTCTAGCTGACACTTGGCATTAGACATGGTGACCCTAGGCTCATGTGCAGCTGCTCCATAGCATCTCATTATTTTGGCAGTGCTTTTCAGTGGACAAGCTGGGTGTGCAGTTGAACATCTATGTCAGCAATCAGTAACAGAGAGAGTCTCTAAGCTAACAGAGTGTTTTTGCTCGATGATAGGTGGCGGTTTAAGAATAGAGAGGTGAAACATGATGATCCCGGCTGACCTTTTTACTACCCACTGGTGCATGGTGGTGCAATCAAAGCTCAGAAGGCATTTTAGAGGCGAGAATCAGACACTACATTTTGGTCAGAAATTATGGGGAAAACAATAGTTCAGTGTTTTAAATGATAAATATGATCAGCCAAGCTTGCTATGACCAGTGATATGAACAAGCATGACTTAACAAATGTAACGGTTTAAAGTAGCTGAAATCTCTGATGAGAAGGGGTGTCTGGATACTTTTGGATTTGCAGTGTATGTGAACTGTGTTCAGCGCTTAATATAGTGAAAAACAAACATACTGTGGGGGGGAACAACTCTAAACCTTTCTATACTTCGGTTTCTGTCAAAAAAGCACAAGAAACAAACTTCTGAGTGCTTTAATATCAAAAGTCTGCAGGTTTTTGGTGAAGCTTTGTTGCCTTTGTTGAGCTGTTCCTCTAGCGCCATTAAAGGGGAATTCTACCAATTTTCCAAAAGTTCTACTTAGTTAAAGGGTTGAGATGTAAACACATTCATTCTTAGAGGTTTAAAGTGAAATGCTGTGTTCTAGAGAAACTTAGAATTGTTCACAGTGGTGGTGATGGGAACCAGGTGTCTGAAGAGTTCTCTCATGCCTCTCAAAGCTTCCTCACAGAAAATTGTGACAAAAAGTGGTTATAAGACACATTTACGATAGTTTTGTGATGAAGTTTTGCCTTGTTAAATGTCTTGTTAATCTGTTTTAATCCATTCATAGTGTTGGGCGTTGTGAGGAAAACAGTCAAAAGGTGTAGGTTCAATGGTGGTTTTGGATGGTAAATAAAACGGCTAGATTTGTGTTGTAGTCATGGCGACTCCTGGTTCCCATCAGCACCACTGCAAAGAAATCTGAGTCTGTAACTTTCTCTACAACGAACCATTTCAGATCAAACCACTGTTCACATCGCAAAAACGGAGTTCTGCAAAAATTTTGAACATCGGTTGGGTTCCCCTGTAAGGCCCTTGTATTGTTGTTGTATAACAGCGCCCTCTGGTGTTAAAGGCATGAAGTTCCGTTTAACCCCCTACAGTCGGATATTCTTTAAGTAATTCGGGATCAAAGTCGACTCTCTTCCCAGGTCAAACACACAAGCTGGGAATGCAGCTTTGGCTTTATTGGTTTAGTTTTTCCTTATTTCGTGCATCGATACTATCACACACATATTGTAAATGGGTGTGAGGTTTATCCCGCAGTAAGTAGTGAAAGCTGCTTCCAGCTGATCTGCAGCTCTACGGTTAATTTATTTAACCGTGTTCATACTCGACGGTCAGCCGTGCAGCTGTGCTGCGTGTTCCCTTTAAGAGGAGCAGCGACCTGGACCTTTTATCGCTGAGGAAGTGTGGATTGTGTGTACACACAGGAAGAGCGCCGACCGAGTGGACCCGGAGTGGACAGGCAGCGTTTATGGACGTGAAGCGACCGTCCGGCTTTGACAGCCACCCACGGATTTTGCAGACAGCAGCAGCAGCTGCTACCGTTGCCGTTCTGCAGACGGCGGAGTGCGGATTAACTGCGAGAGGAAGGCGGTGAGTTGTGGGCTCGGAGGTTGCAGTGTTGGCTACTCGTTTGCTGTAACTGGCGTGTGCTGCATCACATATCCAGCTAGCTAGGCTGCAAATTAGCCAGTTAGCCGGTTTGGCTTTGACAGAGCAGCCTGGCCGTCGCTGCTAACGCCAAATGCTGGTGTGGCACTTGAGTTCATTTCATCTGTTCACAGTTTAACAGCACATTGACATTATGCGGAGGTGTGTTCGTGCTGGTCCGTTTTGTATGCGGACTAATAACTTACTAGCTAGTTGACTCAGTGGATAGCTCGCTAACGGCGTCTGCTAGCTAACCTAGCTACTTCAGCTCTACTAGCTAGACGTTTATTTTCTCACATTAATCTAACTCAGTGTGCATCTAGCTGTTTAATGTTGTTGAGCCTGATATGCTCAACCAAACACTCAGTTGTCCATTCATTTATTTAAATATTTAACCAGCTATATAACAACCAAAACTACTTGCTATCTCGTTAGCTAGGAAGCTAAGCCTCCAGTTTGTTGTAGGTAATTCTTTAATATGGAAGGTTTTATTTTATTTTTTTTTGTATAATACCGGTAATATTTTGATACGGTTTGTCCGCACTTAACGAGCTTACTTAGTCCTTCCTGTACCACACATCTTATTTCATCCCCAAATCTAGCTAACGTCCCTTAAGACTGGCAAGGCGGCTGAAGTCGGTTTCATATTCGCCAACTTCTTGTTCGAATCTTCCCGTTCCACCTTAAATGGTGCAGCAGTTCCATTCTGGCGCCTCAGGCGTTGTAATAATACCTACTGCAACGTTTAAGGTGGAACGGGAAGATTCGAAGAAGAAGCTGGCTTAAGCTTCGTAGCCCTGCCTCATGCATTCATAGCAAAATGATGCTAAATCATGTCTCTGACCAGTGTACGTTTAATCAGTGGCCACACAGCCTTGTTTCAGCTTTTCGCTCTGAGATCTCTGACTCTGACTCCCCACTCGAGCTTTAGGGTTAGCCAGGTAACACAGGCCGTTTATCCACTGACAGAGGCTGCTGGAGTTTGGGGTTGTGTCCGCCGTGGCGAGTGAGCTCGCTATGAATGACCAGTTGTATCATGGGGAAGTTCAGTGCTGCCTGCGTGGCTGTTTACTCAGCCTGCTCTAATGTGGTTAATGTAAACCCAGCCTGTTTGACGGATGTTGGCTCCACCAATGAAGGTAAATGGCATTGGTTGTTCTAAGGTGGGCGTGTGACTTTTAAAGGGGGATTCCATCAATTTTTCAAACTTTATGCATAACGCAGCCATAAATATGCTAGCAAAGTCATTCAGAGTGGCTCAGGAGACACATGGTTCACTGGTTGTTTTGTATAGTAACTAAAATGGCTATACACTGATGAGGCTTAACATTATGACCTCCTCCTTGTTTCTATGGCCATTGTCCATTTTATCAGCTCCACTTACTATATAGGTGCACTTTGTAATTCTACAGTTACAGACTGTAGTCCATCTGTTTCTGTGCATACTTTGTTAGCCCCCTTTTCCCCTGTTCTTCAGTGGTCAGGACCCCCATGGACCCTCACAGAGCAGGTACTGTTTGGGTGGTGGATCATTCTCAGCACTGCAGTAACACTGACGTGGCAGTGGTGTGTTAGTGTGTGTTGTGCTGGTCTGAGTGGATCAGACACAGCAGTGCTGCTGGAGTCTTTAAACACTGTGTCCACTCACTGTCCACTCTATTAGACGCTCCAACCTTGTCAGTCCACCTTGTAGATGTAAAATCAGAGACGATAGCTCATCTGCTGCTGCGCAGTTTGTGTTGGTCATCCTCTAGTCCTTCATCAGTGGTCACAGGACGCTGTTGGCTGGATATTTTCAGTGGGTGGACTATTCTCAGTCCAGCAGTGACACTGAGGTGTTTAAAAACTCCAGCAGCACTGCTGTGTCTGATCCACTCAGACCAGCACAACACACACTAACACACCACCACCACATCAGTGTTACTGCAGTGCTGAGAATGATCCACCACCCAAGTAGTACCTGCTCTGTGGGGGTCCATGGGGGTCCTGACCACTGAAGAACCGGGGAAAAGGGGGCTAACAAAGTATGCAGAGAAACAGATGGACTACAGTCTGTAACTGTAGAACTACAAAGTGCACCTATATAGTAAGTGGAGCTGATAAAATGGACAGTGAGCACAGAAACAAGGAGGTGGTCATAATGTTATGCCTGATCGGTGTATTTGTGCTGTGGACATCACAGTCACTGTCATTGTAAATAAATCCAAGTTAAGTATCTGTACTGGGCACAGTTTCACATCATTATTCTCTTTTAGATTTCCTGATGAAACTAATCAGAATTTTTCTGAAACCAGTGGAATTCTCCTTTCAACACCATGTGTGCTCTGGTTGTGTACACTCTTACTGGTGGTTAATTGTAATGTTCACCACAGCTATCTTTGAAAAGCACACAGTGGGTAATGGATAGAAGAAGCCCACTGCGGCCTGCTCAACGTAATTAAAAGTTCCCATTTTTGTTCCGTTCCCTGAGCACCCTCTCTCTGAGAGAGCATAGATCGAGTCATCAGTTTAGTGAGCACACCTATCTTTCATCTAAGCTTATTAGCCATTGTATGACCACCATAAAACCACCTCTGCCCTGATATTATTTAGGTGGTTAACATGTTCGTGCCATGTTTGTTTGTGTTGCTCTCGTATGAGGCGCAGCAGTGTCGCTAGGGTTCTCACACACCTCAGTGTAACTTCTGAGAATAACACTCCAGCCAAAACATCTAGCCAACAGTAGTCCTGTGGTCAAAACCAATCACTGATGGGGGCTAGAAGATGACGCAAATTATGCATGGGGAAAAAAGATGTAGTCTCTCTCTCTGTACGCCTACCAGATATGCCACCAAGATAGCGTCTAAGAAAATGCCAGGTGTACATTAGGAATGTTCTGTGGTGTCAGAGTCGATTCGGCAGATATTTGCTTTGGACACATGTTTAGATTTGACTGATATTTGATGATGTATTTATTGTACTCCAGAAGAGGAGAATGTTTAGGTGATACTAGGCTCTGTAATGTTTCTGTCTGTAGTCCTAATTTGTATATTTAATATTTGTTTATCAGCATCAGTATCTGCAGATATATGCAAGAAAATTATTACATGTTGACATATAAGAAGCATATCACTGCTGTTGGAAGAAAAGTTCAGTTTTTATCATAATTTCAAAATGCCTGTTGCTCTTTACGTTTTCATGATGAATGGACCAAAAGAAATGGCCCAAAATTACTTGGAAAAAGGTCTGGTTCCATTGACTTACATTAAAAGTAAAGAAGGTTTTGTCCTTCTCCTGTAAATTTACCATTTTGGAGAAGGTTTTCTTCCGACAACAGCGATATGATACATTTTTACCAGCACAGTACAAGCTTCCATGCCTCTACTGTGTCTGTCATGCTGTGCTATGAATGGTACATCTCCCAAACAATATCTGGTCAGCTGTGGTTCTACACTATCAAAAAAAGGCACTAAACTGTCGCTGGGGCAGTACCCCTCTTGTTACTGGGTTGGTTTTCTTTTAAGGGTACATCTCAGTACCTTTAGTCAGGGAGCATAATTGTACCATAATCCATTGAAATTATACTTTTTAAGTTGTATTATTAGTCCTACAACAGGGAAATTCTCAAAACAAAGCAGGGCAGGTCCCACCAAGACTTGACCTCGGATCACTGGATTCAAAGTCCAGAGTGCTGACCATTACACCATATTTAATGTAGATACAAGTTAGTTGAAAACTGTAGACTGGTGACTTGGTATAAAGCCTAGGAACTGCAGAAATGCTGTACTGCAGCTTAATAAAATCCTGCTCGAAGACTGTTTAAATCAGATATATTGAGTTTCCCAATACTATTTTTTGTTGTTGTTGTTGTTGTTGTTGTTATTATTATTGTTATTATTATTGTTATTATTATTATTATTATTATTATTATTATATTATCTGAGGTGTTTAACATTCAGAGTTCTTCAGAGATGGAAACCTGTGTGGTGTGGAAATGGGGCATATACAGCACAATATCTAGAGCCAGTCCACCTGTGTTTGCAGTTCTAAACCGTATGGCAAATAAGAGCATCTGTACATCTGCTGCTCAAACGGAGTGTACTGTGATTAATGGGCAGCAGCCCTAGCCGGTCAACACCTAGATGATTACATGATGTAGAAATCTGCCAAACACAGGCTTGAGTGGACAAAGCTGTATTTAATGTGCCCATATGTGTTATGCTTTTCATGGGACAGCAGTCGAGCACTATAGAGAGATCAGGGAGTGTGGTCTGCTGTCAGCGTGTGTTGCTGACAACTCAATGGAGCACACAAGTCGTCTTAATATGACAGCTGTGTTTTTTCAGTATATCCATTTTAAACCTTGAACAGGTTGTAGATACAGTTATTGAAGTGTCATGCAACCTGTGAATGTAGTATTGGACTGTCTCTTGGTGTTCACAGCACATTGATCTTCATCGCACTGCTGTTTTGTACAGTAGAGGTTCTAGTGGGAGGACGGAGCCTTTTTTTCAAGCAGAGCTGATGTGCTGTCATATTGATCAGCAGTGAATGGGCAGTGTGGATTGAAGGCCTCCCTTGGCTTTTCCTTAAAAAAACATCCAGAGATGGCAAAACTGATAAACACCATGCAGCAGACCATGTTTGTTCTTCTTGCTCGAAGATCTGTGCTTATTACAGGTTTCTTTATTTATTTATTTATTTACTTATGGTTTTTTGAGCGTTTTTTGTCATAAAAATCAGCTTTCTGAAGCGCGACTTGTGGAGGCATTGATCCAGTTCGTGTGTCCGTCTTAGTAGTAGATTTGTTCGTATTTGATTTCACACTCTTGCGTTTTCTTTCTTGCGTTCGGTCTCCTACTCTCTTGTAATGTAGTCTGTAGCAGCGTTTGAAATAGCTCTGGAGTTTGAGGAGCTGGTGAATGAAACCCTGAATGATGAGAGGGAAGTGTTGTGTTGGTGGAAAGGTCACAGCGGATGTTTCCCCTCACTTCTTAAGCTCAAAGGATGTTAAGCGTTTCTACAGTAGCAGCAGTAGTGAGAACAACTTTAGTACAGCGAGGCTAACAGTTCAGAGGAATGTGGATGCTGTCAGCACATTCCCCACAAATCTACTGATAAATAATGCTGTTTATAGTGTATTGCAGTAACAGTTTATCCCAGCGTGACATTTTCTGTCAGTCAGTTCAAGCCCTTGGTAACAAAGCACAGCGCTGTATAACTAGCACTGAATGATTAATCATTTTTATAGCAAAGTCTTTGTATATTAAAAAAGTGCAATTTTCAAATTGCAACGGCTTCAATTTGAACTGTTCAACATTATCTCAAGTTTTAAGCTGGGAAATTTAGCCTAATAACAGAGCTCATTAACTGACAGTGTGGCATTATATTACATTCAGCATTTAAGCCTCAAAAGTAGTTGTGCGAGTCTTCTTGAGGGGAAAAGGCCTGGAGCTTAGCTTATAGAAAATCTTATTTAAAGCTGAAGTTCCCAAGAACATTTTGTAATGTCGATTTTGCTTCCAACCCCTTTCCCAAGCGGATGAATCTGATAACTGTGATTGTGTTGAAACAGAATTTAAAGAAAACTCCAAAGACTTGGTCAAGGATGTGCCTCTGAGGATGTAAGTGAATTCTCTACTATTGTCATATCTTCATTTTGCCTTTGAGATCTAAACATCAAGGACCTTCTTTTTAAACATGTGCATGTGACGTTCATAATAAAGACGTATGATGTGGTCTGGAAAAACTCCTGTGGAATCCGGCTCAACACCTCTGACTTCTCAAGTATTATTTTAGGCTTTAGGGAGTGACTCGCAGCAGCACAACACTAAATTTGTGTTTTTCTCCTGTCTCAGTGTTGGTACTTTTTGGTTTTAACAAAAAAAAATTACATAGTGCAGCTTCAAATTGCAGTTATAATGTTGGTCAGAAAAATCGCAATTAGATATTTCAGCAGCTCATTCAACCCAGTGTATGACCGTGTCTGTGATAGTCCATTTCTCTTGGCACAGGCGAGCAGGTTTGGGTTTCAGATTTAGCAGTCAGGCCTGCTGCTTATGTCAGGTCTCACAGTCTCAGATTTAGTTCGGAGTTTGGGCTTGAAAAAATTAATAAGCACTTAGACCTCTATTTCATTTCTCTGTCACTGGGCTGATAGTCATTCTAGTCCAAATATGCCATCAAAGTTTGAGACACTGTTTCGGTACAGTTTGCTGGCACTAGGTGAACAATTTGTCCTCATTCACACTTAAGCATGTAGTCTCTGTCACTCTCGAAACTCAAAAACTCATTCTCAGAAATGGAAGTGTGCTGTTATTATAGCAGAAACACGTGTTAATATTACAGTTTCTACAACAAGTATTGCATGTGTGTGCGTGCGTGTGCGTGTGCGCATATGTGAGGTAGTTAAGTGTGTTTGACAGCACGAGGTTTCATCTCTTTAATCCCATCGTGTGTGTGTGTGTGTGTGTGTGTGGGGCAGTGTACTGGGCCAAGGTGTGTGTGTGCGTGCGTGCGTGTGTGCACGTGTGCGCGTGTGTTTGTGTGTGTGCGCATGTAGTTAAGTGTGTTTGACAGCACCAGGTTTATGCTGTTTTTATCTATGCATCTCTTTAATCCCATCGTGTATGTGTGTGGCAGTGTACTGGGCCAAGGTGTGTGTGTGTGTGTGTGTGTGTGTGTGTGTGTGTGTGTGTGTGTGTAGTTGAGGTAGTTAAGTGTGTTTGACAGCACCAGGTTTATGCTGTTTTTATCTATGCATCTCTTTAATCCCATCATGTGTGTATGGCAGTATACTGGGCCTTTGTGTGTGTGTGTGTCTGAACAGCCTATGGACTGCTCTGTAATTTGGACTTGCTTGTGTAGTTTTCTCAAGTCTTTTCGGGGTTTAGTATGGTTGTGGTGATAGTTTTAATGAAGTGAATGCCTTTAAAGTAAGACGTGGTGCACAGTGACCTCTTCTGTGTCTATGAGACAAAATGGCTTTTGGAAACTCTTATATACCACCAGTGCAGTGGAGAAATATTCCCCAAATCATGGGGGAACAGTGATTCCACCATTGGGTTACCACAGTAACAGCCCCCAGTGATGGGAAAAACTCATTTATCGCCAGTTTGAAAAAAAAAAAATGTTCGTTTACTGATTTATTTTGTGCAAGTCATAGCAAGACTGTATTATTTCCATACGTAAGCGAGATTTTAACCTTTGGGTGATGTCCTACATTAATACCACATTAATGGCACCTAACACAGATAAGACTGTTCTAGAAACACAGTTGCACTGGTTAAACCTGTTCGATGCTGCAGGCAGATGTCATGCTTGTACAGAAAGCCACCTTTATGGTACTGTGTACATTTAAATGATGTCCTCACACCATGGCCTCAGGTTTCAAACTGAAAAACTTCTTCGGTCTCAGGGGAAAAAACACGTGAGTAAATCATGTCATGGCTCTTGTACATCAGGTGAAACAGGTAGTTTCAAACGGTCTCAGAAGCAGCTTTAGGGACGAAGGCGGAGGGCTGAGCTAAGTGGCCACAAACTCTCAGATGGTAAAATTTGTTTGACGTTTGCAACTTTGTTCCTTCTTACTACATTAATTATAGTTTCATGGCCGAATTAAAGATGGCGTATACTACAACCACAGCTTTGACAGATTGCTAGTTGATTTGTTATATTCTTTTATTTGACAAAGATTAAGACTCAAAATGGTGTTACTCTGTTTTCTCCTGCATCTGCTTCGGTGTAAGGGACCATCGAAAAGCCAAGACCCTCCCCAAAATAAAAATGACTCCTGTTGCCTACATGTTCATGGATCTATGTTTAACAGGAACAGCAGGACTCTATGAAATGTGTGGTTTTTTTTTTTTTTTCTTCGCCCCAACCCCTCCTCATCCTCTCCATCCTTAATTTGAATTTTTACTCATTTGACATTTTATTTTATTCACTAACATCAATAAATATTCAGGGGATACTTAATGATTTAATATATGCCCTCGGAGTTCTGATATGAGATGCTGTTACTGTTATTAGAAGTGCTGCTAGAAAACGATACTTCAGTTAGGCTAAAGAGAGACGCAAAAAGCACCAGTGATGTTCGCCGTGGTTAATTCCCACAGCCGACTTTCTAACCCACAAGCCTTTGAAAGCGTGTAGGGACTGGACACCGTCTTGATTTCTCCATAGAACAGCATTTGCCAAAACCACAATAAATGTGAACGTTATCCAGGTGGTATAAGGACAAATTACACAAAACGTTCAATATGCGCAGAGATTTGGAGAAATCTCCCCCAAATTGTTTAAATCTGAAATCTGTTTTTATGTCTGTTTTTATGTCTGTTTTTATGTCTACCCTATTTCCTCTGTGGCCTCCACATCATGGAAATCATTGGGCCCTAGAGCAGACATTGCAATGAATACATGCCTTGCATTTATCCTGAACGTTAGGATGTAGGAACATGGATGAAAGACTGGCCACATTACTTTTTCTCCATTTCTCAGGTTTTGGTTTTAGACTTATTATTATTTCCCATAGTGCTTTTGCCTTTTACACAAGCGGCTTCAACATGGCAGCCCCTGCCCTAAATTCCAGCTTTGTGAATGTCACAGTATACTGGTCGTGGTGGTACTGGATCACAGAGGCGCTGATTCCACCCTTTGGTCTTTTAAACCTTTTCGTTTAGCTTTGAATTGCACACAGTTTTCCTGTGTTTGGTATATGCTGTCATCATTTTTGGGGCTGCACCACTTGACACATTAAGGAATTTTGTTTTTTTGTGGCTGCAGCACCTGTTCAGGCCCCCGACTGACTGGCTTCTTTGGAACTTTTTCTCTTTATATTGCTGTGAAAACTCTCATATCAAAGTACTGAATGTCAGACCTCCTTTAAAGCTGACACGTACTAATTGGCTCTCAACCTAAAGTGCTTTTGTAAATGTGCTTTAGTCATTTGAAGGGTAAAACCCTTTCATGTGGAGTGTTCATTATTTCATCCATCCCTCTGTGTGATTGTAGTATAGTTGGATATTCTTTCCATACCGTTCACGTGTCAGTAGCACAATTAAAATCTTGTCTTCCTGTCAGTTAAGCTTTTTATGTTGGTGACATTCTAGTGGGTGTTAAAAATCCATTTTTATGGCTTTTGTTTTAGTGGAGTGGAGGAACAGTGAACAAGACGGAGACATCGATCAGTTTCCCACCCTTCAGCCGTAACAACAAAAGACGAAGGAAGGCCCGGAGGCAGGTATTCATCACCGCTGACCAGATACATTGCACCTAATGCTGCAGTGTAATATAGTGCATGCTATAAATGTAATACAGTGCATCAACATATATTTGGTAAGATCACCTGAAATAAGTCTTATGTGTAAGCAGGAATTCTCCTTGATCCAAATGTGGTCAGTCAGCCAAGGCATGTTTGTTGTCCTACATTCGTCTTGCATAGTTGTGAACTGAAGCTATAGGCTAATGCAACAAAGAGGTAACATAATTGTCCACCATTTTTTTTTGCTCTTTGAGCTTCAGTGGTCATGTGGACAGCAGGCAAGGTGACATGGATGGCCCTCATGAATTTATGATGCATTCAACTAAATTAGCTATATTGATTAATTTTATAGATGTTGTACACTTAAAATGATTGGAATATTTTTTCAGTTTGTCTCTGTATTTATGTCTCTGCTATATCTGTCTCCCCCCGTTTCCTTTCTCTTTTTTTTTTTTTTAGTGTCTTTCACTTCTCTCTTTCTCTCTCTCTCTCTCTCTCTTTTTTTAGTGTCTTTCACTCTTTCACTAGTCCTCTCTCTCTCTCTCTCTCTCTCTCTCTCTCTCTCTCTCTCTCTCTCTCTCTCTCTCTCTCTCTCTCCTGTTCTCTCATTCCTTAGTCCTCCATACCTTGTGACCAGTCTCTCACCTGCTCCTCTGCTGCTGGTGGGCAGGTCGTGGGCAGTGCCATGGCCTGGGCGTGACCCCGTGTGACCCTTCCCCTCCCCTACCCCACCCCACCATGAAGCTAAAGCAGCGCGTGGTGGTGCTCTGCGGTGTTCTTCTGCTGCTGGGCCTGGCCAAGGTCTTCCTGCTGGATGGCGGCGAGGGTTCAGCTGCCAGCCGCCGTGACCTGCGTGCTTTCCGCAAGATGGAGGCCAGCCTGCTGCTGGCCAAAGGCGCGCGCCTCACGCACACTCTGCAGTCGCCATGGGAGGTCGCTGCCCAGTGGGTGGGGCCACGTGAGGTCTACCCGGATGACACACCTGAGCTGGCTGCCGTGCTCAACGCCCTGGCCAGCGCCCGCGTGGAGAGGGCTGACGTCGGCTACAAGGGCACTCAGCTCAAAGCGCTGCTGGTGCTGGATGGAGGGCAGAAGGTGGTGTTTAAGCCCAAGAGGTGAGATGACATTAGCATGTTCAGTGTAACACTGGTGAGGGATGCTGAAGCTAGCTCCATACTTTCAAGTCATAAGTCAAACCATAAAAAAAGAGATTAATATTGAATAATAAATAGCTTGCACATTACTGTTATGCCCAGGAAACTACTAAAAATGGTACAGGAGCACACCAAAACTTAACACTAATTAAGATTTATGAATATGCACAATTATGCAAATTGCGAATGCCCTCTTTACACCCAGTTTCCAAGCCCCTTCCCTTCCCTCACTACCCTGCACACTGTACTTTCACCTTTAGCGAGTCTTTTTCCTGTAAAAAAAAAAGTTTTGTCTGTGGAGCCTTTTGCCAGAGTCAGACCTAAGCTGTTGTGTGTGAAGCTGCAATTATGCTATGCTACCACTACCTGCTACTTCCACAATACATCGCTTGCCAGGACACTAACAGTCCTTAGACACGATATTTGACAGTTTATTAGATAGATGTGGAATACAAAATTTTGAAGTACTGTCTTTCCTCTGTTTTCAACTGCACAGTCCTAACATCTCGTACAAGGTAGCTATGTTAGGGCAGGCCTGTTCTGTGATTTGTAATGATAATTTTATACGTAGCACTCCACAAAAGTGCTTCTAAGGCCCAATCCCATTTCTTCTTTTCACCCCTACCCCTTGTTTTCGAGTGTCACCCTAACCCCTTGGAACTGAGTTACAAGGGGTAGTGGTTGAAATCTTGCCATACGAAATGGGACAACCCTCAAATTAACAAAAAAAGAAAACAATGCTTCATTAACAGGCTACTAGCGGTGCTCTGTAGGCCACCCGGCCCGTCTTCAGTGATAGCAGAGGAGGGTAAAGTTCAGCAACCTCACTGCTGGGCTTTAGTTACATTTAGGGCATCATATGCAGAGGGGGAGGACAATTATTTATTATCACCCACCGCTAATTCTTTGGTGATACGAAGCTAAATTCGGATATTCACCAGCTTCTTGTTCGAATTTTCCAGTTCCACCTTAAATGGTGCAGCAGTTACATTCTGGCACTTCAGGCGTCAGAACTGTCGGACTATGTAAGGTGGAACGGGAAGTTAGCTAGCTGGCAACCGAGACATTAGGATGTTATTAGCGTTTTTTTTTGTTTGTTTTTGTTTTTTTTTTTGCTTGTTATGAAGAAAACGACATTAAATTAAGATCATACAACATTTGTGAGTTTCTTTGGTCGCTTGTGCAGCCATCTTGCCGGTTTCTTTTTTTCCGTTTGGAGTGTGCCTCTGAAAAACCTCTGTTTGGAGGGCCATGTATCTCAGGAAAAATTGGGACACCCTAACCCTAGTCATGAATGTGCAAAACAAAGGGCTAAGGGCTAAGAGGTAGGGCCAAGGGGTGAAATGGGATTGGGCCTCAGTGTGGAAGTCTTTTCAATGGAAATGGAAAAATCTGAACTTTGCACTATGTTAATACGTTCACCTCAAATGCTTATCTGTATAATGAAGATAAGCCACCCAAAAGGCGTTTTTTGGTTAATCTGTTTTTTTTTGTTGTTGTTGTTTTGGGGATCTGTGACAGACCACAGATCACTGACTATGCTGCTTATATAATGACCACGCGGGGGTTTTGAGAAATCCAGAGCTGCAGTTCCCCCAGCGTGTGAGCAGTCATAGATGCCCTGACCTCATGCATTGTTTTTAAGTCTTGTATTGTGAGCACACACATAGCAAGCAGTTAGAACAGCGATGAGCAATGGTCTTGGTGGGAAGAACAGTGATGAGCAATGGCCAGACTAGAAGGACCAGGGATGAGCCAATAGTTTGAGACACTCCGGACACGAGGTTGGAACCACCAAAACAACAATCATGGAAGCAGGATGTGAAGGTGGAAGCCAAGAAGACTTGCATCAAAAGCATGAATGGATGTTTGTAGTGATGAGCAATATCCGGACTAGGAAGAGCAGGGATGAGCCAATAGAATGAGACACTCCGGACACGAGGTTGTAACCACCAAAACAACAATCATGGAAACAAGAAATGATGTTGGAAGCTAATAAGGCTTTCATCAAAGGCACAAATGGATGTTTGTCGGGAAGATAAAGTGGTGTCTGATGTGTTATTCACTTATATGGGAAATGGGTAAAATGGAATTCAAACTTAATTTTATTTTGACATTTTGCAAAATTATGAGTGATGTGACTATCAGTGCTTGGCAGCCATCTCTAAGCACCACATCCTCCCTCAGGCGAAGGAAACACTCTGAGAAAACTGCACAGAGTTATACATGTTGCCTTCATTTTAGTACATGAAGCACTGTCATTACTCTGATTAAACACATTAACAGTAAGCATGTATCAATCCAAATTAACACGCTCTGAAAAACACAGGGAATTAAACAACAAAATGAGCTTTGTTCATATTTTATAGAGTGATATAAAAAAGTGCAGTAGCTGTGATTCTACATGCTGAAGTTGGTAAAATAATTGCGCTGTTGCCAATGAGAGCTTTTCTTTTTTTTTTTGGCCGGGGGATGACTGCATACAAAGTGAATCAAATTTAGAATTGCCTGTTTTTAATTGAAGTCGCTTAAGATTAGTATCTTCAATTCGGCTGTCGGACTCAAACTATTCAAAAACTCCACTACTCTACAGGAAGAACTACACAGTTAACATCACATCACATAGTGTTCAGGCTAGATTTGTTACAGAGTTGATTCAGAATTTTTTATTTTTTTTTCTTTATCCCCCTCGATATCCGATTCAGCATTCTCTGCTTTTATCAGCCTGATACCATTGATACTGATATGCTGTCTGGTTAACAAAGTTGGCTTTTCTTAACTTGGCTGCTGATAGGAGATTAATGAAATTGATATTAGCCAGATGAAACAGGAGTCCGAAGCCCATATTAGCACTTAAAAAAAAAAAAAACATTTCCGAACAGAGGTAAATAATAGTGTAAGCTTTAGCTCTAGCTCATCTGCCCCATCGTACTTGTAGCTTTAATGTACATTAATTAAATATCATCGCTGTCCAACCAAAAACATCTCCAAAATAGTACTTTACAAATTTTATTTTATTTGAGTCTAAGTTACTGTGAAGTTTTTCCCAAGCAATTTAGGAGCTTTTTTAGTGGCCCATTCTTCATGAAAGTTTCACCCAATGTAAAAGAGAGCTGCCATATTCAAATGATGTACAAAAATAAAAATCCACAATATGTCTGTGCAAAGAAATTTGTGAAAGTTAATTATTGAATAATAAATTTCAGATGTTAGCACAAGTGATGTATCCCTAACAGGCGACTCTGTGGCCCGAGCTGACCGTTTGACAGGTATGGCAACAGTAAGGTAGTGGAACTTGTCATTGTTTGCAAAAGGTCAGTTACAACCAGTGTCGGCCAAAATAAGGTATAAATTATTGTGTCATAATTAGCCCAGAGATGTCATTTCAGTGCATCCCTACTTGTTTGATTTCCAAAAACAAACACAAAAGGATGTAGAGACGTGTCATGATTTCCATTTGGCCTCAGTAGACATGCACGTAGGTGAACGCAGTGCTGCTGGGGAAAAAAAAATCCATGTACAGTAAATTAGATTGTCCTCTATTTTAGGCCTACAGTAGCTACCCTCTGTGTGCATATTAAACACAGCGATCTGTATTCTGAGCACATAGTGCTGCTCTCTTCAGATGATTTAAATCAGTTATTGCTGACCGATCTGTGGTGCCGTGACACTTAAGTCACGTCAACTGGCGGTTGAGTGCTAACTGAGTAGGAGAATTGAGCACACTGAATTGAGCATGCCTTAAATGTTAGTCATTGGAAAATGTGACTGATAGTCAGAATACAAGGTCGTCCTTTAGCCCAGTGCCCCTGGCAAATGCTGCACGCGATACCTTTGATCCGAACGGTGGTTTTCTTGCAGCCATTTCTGTGACAGTAGTGAGTGTATGGCCTGGGCGCGAAAGTGAGAGGTACACCTTGTAGATATTCAGCTAGAGCTTAGAGCTGGTCTTTTTCCATGCACAATGTGGGTGTAATCCTTTAGTCCTCTATTAATGGTTGGTTTTCGATCACAAGATCACTGTTGACTGGATATTTTTAGTTGACAGGCTATCCTCAAACCTGCACTGACCCTAAGGTGAGAGTGCAGTATGTGAAATGCTGAATAGTAAACTTATTACACTTGGATTTTGATAGCATTTTTAGCTTCTGTTTTGCTGGTAAGTTTTGTTTGTTCCAAGTTGTCCAACTTTAGAAAAACTGTTGTGGCGCACGTTGTATTTTGTCTCATCACCCACCCAAAATTGACGGCAGTGAGTCTATGGCCTGGGCGTGAAAGTGAGACATGCCTACCTTGTTGGTACACCTCGTAGATGTGCAGTTAGACTATAGTTGTTCCTTTTCCATGCACAGCGTATGTGTCATCCATTAGCCTTTTACCAGTGGGTTGTCTTTTTGACCACAGGATCATTGTTGACTGGATATTTTTATTTGGCAGGTTAATCTCAGCCTTGCACTGACACTGAGCTGAGAGATGTACTTTGTTTTTATGTTAAATAACATCATTATGTCACAGTACACTTTCCCTCAGTACTACAACACTGACCAAAAATAAACAGTTCTGTTGAACTGGATTTAGCAGGGCTCACGTTTTTTCAACACTGTCAGGAAAAAATTGGTCAACTAGTCCAAAGTGAAAACTGACAGTCCAAAATATTAAACTGTGTTCACATTATATTTTTCTTTAGAATTTTTGGATTACCTTATTACAGATTACCTCATTACAAAATGACAAATGTCAAATAGCAATACACCGAATATATGCTTAACACACATGCGCACACACACACAGGTAAACTCTGTGCTCTGTGAGGGTCCATGGGGGTCCTGACCACTGAAGAACAGGGTAAAAGGGGGCTAACAAAGTATGCAGAGAAACAGATGGACTGCAGTCTGTAATTGTAGAGCTACAAAGTGCACCTATATAGTAAGTGGAGCTGATAAAATGCACAGTGAGCATAG